AAAATAAATATTTATAAATATTTATCTAATAACTTACTAATATTGTATGCTGTCTGGGTTAATACTTTAAATCTTAACAGTACTTTGTGTAAGTATTTCATCACTTAGCAAAATATTATATATTAGTATTTAAATATTGACAATGTTCTGCGTAAGTATTTTATCACTGGACGAAGTATTACATATCAATATTTAAGTATTGAAATCAGTCATAAGGTAGGATTTGTAACATTAAATATTGAAATACTTGAGTACCAAAAGCTGTATTTGAATCACAGAATATTACTAAATACTGTACTTTTAATACTGAAAATAAGTAATTAATCAATGATTCTTAGTATGATATTTCTATAAGGGGACGCTTTATATTCTCACTTGGTATAAAAAATTCTTTGTATCTAGATAAAAAATGAAAGTGCATAGCCATGCAGGTGACATTACAAAATATTATGAGGCTTCCCAGTGAGTAAGGTCGACGTCTACTAGACGTCTATATGAAACGTCTATCTACCCCCTTATAGAAATATCATACTAAGAATCATTGATAATTACTTATTATCCAGTATTTTTAATACTGAAAATAAGTAATTATCAATTATTCTTAGTATGATATTTCTATAAGGGCCATCTACGTCTAATCTAGATTAAGATCTATATTGACTTAAAAACGGTTCACATTTAGATGTCTAATAGACCGTCATTTCGACGTCGATTCGACGTCTTTTCGATGTCGATCAATAAGTTATTTCTCACTAGATCATTTCATAAAAATAACTAATTCCTAATTTTTTGTATATCTTATAAACTGCTAGAAACCAAAGATTGTCAAACACACGCTAAAACTTTCGCGAATCCTGCCTCGAAAATTTCGAATTCGAAGTAGTCACCCATCCATCTTAATTGTGTTACTTAATCTGACGATCGAGCGGCACGCGATGTTCCAATGACTCCAATGATGTTCTTACAATGTATATTTACAATGTTCACAGTATATTATAACGTACTAGAAAATACACGCGTTAATTCGCTTGTCTATTTTATTTAATATCTCTAAAGTTTATGTAGTTATTTGCAAAATGACTTTGACCATTCCTTCCAGTTTAATGTTTTTCGAGTAATCTAACATTCCTATCTTTGTAATACTATAATTAAATCAGAAATCTAAAAAAAATTGACGTTTCCACTTAGAATAAATTTATTATACAAAACGCGCGCTTTCCTAGTGAGAAATGATTTATTGATCGACGTCGAAAAGACGTCGAATCGACGTCGAAATCGTCAAATAGACGTCGATCGATAAGTCATTTCTCACTGGGATATTAGACGTCGATTCAATATCGAATAGACTTCTAGAGAGATTGTAAATAATCGACAAAATAAAATTCCGAAATTTTATCGAAGACTCTCTTTTAATGGTCAATATATTATGAATGGATTCTAAAACATTAAAATTTACTCAAAATAGAAGACGTCTAAATTGTCATTTTTCTAGACGTACATTTAGACTAGACGTAACTTAGACTTCTCTGACGTCGGTTAGACGTCGAATCGACGTCTACATTCTCGCTGGGTTTCACATAACGATTTCAAGGGCTACGCTAAAGGAAAAGTTTGAACTACGAATTGATTGCATGCGTGCTGGTGTATATCTGATTATTAGGACTCATTTACGTAAGATGTAGAGTACCGATTCTCGATATCGTATGAATGAGATGCGCAAGTGAAAATCGTTTAGTTCGTTTATATATAATGCTAATTTTCACATGTTCATTTTATTCGCACGATGTTAAAAATCAGATCCCAGGACGCAGCATGCAGATCACTAGCTTGTCGCGACAGCCAATGAGAAGCGTCAGAGGTAACCACTTCAAAGTTATTATAATTTTTTTTTATGCAACCCATCAGTTCGTAATGTCGAGGATTTATAGGGTGTTTACGATAACGAGAGTAGAGCGAGTGAGTTCTGGATCAGAATAATATAATCTCCTACCTATAACTGTAATATTCTATGGTCTGCTCTTGCTCCTGCTTTTGCAGTCTCATGAACACAGGAGCAGATCAGGAGTTTGTCTCACGAACAACAAAGGATACCCTGATAGCACATGTTGGTTTTATATACATTTTATAAACGTATGTAACGTTTTATTATCGAAAATATATCAAAAATATATCAAAAACATTTCTTAAACGACACGTGTTACTTGGGTAATGTATCATACTTAAAGTGTATTAATATTTTATCTTAAATTTATACTTAGATGTGAGTTTTTAAGCTGAATCAAGATTATAATATGTCACGTATTTCATATGGTTCAATTAAAATAAATTAATCAAGCTCTTTACAATCTTTAATAATTGCAATCTGATCATCTGACGTGAGACAAGTTTCAAGTAATAACTATTAATACAGATACATTAGGCATTAACACTCTTTGTTTAAGGAGAGTTTGAAAATCTCAAATAATTAATAAACTAAAATAATATGTTACATAAATCTTTAAATAAAGAAGATAAAATATTAATACACTTTAAGTGTGATACATTACCCTTTGTTTTTCGTGGGACGAACTCTTGGGGCCCGATGCTTGACGATGTACGAATGAAATACGTAAAATCTACGCGAAAATCTACAGTATATGTAACGTGAACTACACATTTTCGCATGCGTATCTCATTCGCATACCGTCAAGAATCGAGCCCTTGATCTGTTTCTGTGTTCATGAGACCGCAAGAGGGGTGGGATCCGATTGACCACGATACGATTGAACACAGATTATAATGATTGGTTCGACCTAGTAATTCACTAGATAATTCTTTTCATCGGTTGGTTGTGTCCAATCATACCGTGGTCAATCGGGACGCTCTCCTGCAAGAGCAGGAGCAAGAGCAGATCATAGAATATTACAGTTATAGATGGGAGATCATACTATTCTCTCTCCAAATCTCACTCGCTCTACTCTCGTTATCGTAAGCACTCATAATGTTAGGGTGAAGTCCCATGGAGGCAGCGTACGGCGTACCGGTGTATGGCGTACAGGAACTAGACCAATCACAGGCTTTACGCCCGTTTCGTTACGCCAGCACGGATGTTACGCTGACTTTTGTAGCGTTCCAACGTTACGTTACACATGTACACACATATAGTTAAGATACATGTTCCTAACCTAAATAAAAGAGTTACATTATTAAAAGCAACACATAATTTAAAATAGTTTTTAAATACAATTTTAAAATGAATAAAAACCAGTCAGGTTGTTTCTTAGTAAGTATCAGTTTATAAAATTTTTCATACAGCGTGACATATAAACACAGAGTTAAAAGAAAACAAAATAAAAAACACATTTATAAATTAGAATTAATTCTTTTTTGGTTTTTTAGGATAATATCTTTATCTTTATTCTGAAAATTGATGTGGGAGCTTTTCAACTACGGACACTGTGTTACACAAAAGCATTCTATTGACTGTATATTACCTAACAAGATATTTTCGAGAATTTACAGTCAATAGAATGCTTTTGGGTAATACAGTGTCCGCAGTTGGAAAGCTTCCATTATCACCCTTTGTCTGGTAAATACACTTTAGGAAGTATATTAATTACAAAAAATTTTTGTTTAGAACATAAAATGTGGTTATTGCGGCTCAATACTAACCGTCGACACACAAGAACAAATTTTGTGTCACAATTGTTTTCAAAAGTATGATGAAGAGAGACATGCTATATCTATAAACGAAGACTTTGTTGCAATTATTGGTAAATGTTGTAGTAATAATTCTTGTTGTAATACTTTATCTTCTTTAAAACATCCATTATATCACATACATAGGTTTACGATGTTAAATTTAATATGCAACTAATTGTATTTTTACAGTTGAAGCCAGCAATGAAATAGTATCAGAGGACACTAGCAATGAACAGTACTCAACAGATCACCGTGATGAGATGCTAATTAACATTGTACAAACAAAACCAGCATTATGGAATTTCCAAATTCCACTTAGGGAACGGACAAAGGCGAAAAAGAAAGCGCTGTGGAAGGAGGTTGAAAATATGTTAGGAGGTTTGTATAAATATATACAAAATATTAAATAAATAAGTAAAAAGTTTGCTAAGTACAAGCTACAATCTATTTTATGAATAGTTAATTTTGTTTATGGTTACAGGGCTCTTGACTATGGATGATGCAATGAAAAGGTGGAAATATCTAAGAGACTGTTATGTGCGTTACAAACGGCAAATAAACACGTATGTTCCAAGTGGATCTGCTGCACAACCGAGTAAAAAACAGAAAGTATTCCGCTTTTATGAAGTCATGCAGTTTATCGATGATCCATTGGAAAGTGCACGGTATATATTTATATATATTCATAAATTATTAATGATAAATAGTGTAAATACTATTACTAATAACCAAAGAAACATTGAAAAGGCTCGTTCTGAATACAAATCGAAGTATCGATATAAGGGCCGTAACGAGCGACACTGGATGTTCGTGTGTGTGTATATATATAATACCGGCCTATAATTATATTTAAAATATTTATACAAAGTGACCCTACCAAAAATTGTTAAATCGAACAAAAAGTCTTAAAAATAATATCATTTATTCACTAAGTATGTGTGTATATATATATATATATAAAACTTGCACCTAATATGATCTGAGCATTAAAGTTTTGTTGCTTACGATTTTTGATTGGATACTTTAATTATAAAAATTTACGATAATCTACATTATAATTGATCTTAATTTCATAATATGCATTTTCATATTTTTTTCTATACTTACTAAATAATAGGTATTTATATAGATAATAACATTCAATATATAAAAATTTTTAGAACTGTCAGTAATTTATCCGATTGCGATGAAGCTGCTAATAGCGTACAAGAACAGGACGAACTTTCCTTATCTTCAACTTCAACAACAAACAGTACATGTGAAAGCAGATCATTACCTTCAACTTCAACAGAAAAGAGCATATATGAAAGTAAACAATTGTCACGAGCTGCACGACGGTCACACAGTTCTACACCCAATATAACATGTAAAATAATTTTAGCTTTAGTACATCTTAAAGGAATATAACAAATAATCAATCTAATTATCTAGTCAATATTTCTTAACTTTGATTTTATCTTCAAATCGTTTTATTTAAAAAAAATATTGTAGAATACCATAACATTTTCTGCTAGAAAAACCTCAGAACATGTAAAAGTCTTCACAAACATTTGGAGAGTAGGTTTATTGACTTTAATGATATAATCTATGATTTTCTTTCATTAATGTAATGAACTATTGTTACAGCGAATGCATCTAGTGAGTCTTTTATGTCGGAACTACGGGACAATCTTAAAAATGTTCTGAATACTCCAGTTTTACAAAAAGATGCCGTTGATTATTTTGTAGCTTGTTTATCAGACGGGATGCGAAAGCTATCAGATAAAAAATATCGTTCATTACAAATAGCAATACTGCAGCTTCTTGCAGAGGCAGAGAAAGAGGAAGCCAAAGAAAATAGTGTTTAGTTTTATTTATGCTATATTTCATAATTTACATTATGAAATCATTTACATTATTTTAGATTCTTGTTTATCTTAATATTGAATATTCTTGTGTTATTTAAACGTTGTTTTTGTTTTACTTTATAAAGAATTCAATATAGAATGCTATTTAAACGGTTCTTTGTTTTACTTTAAAAATAATTCAATATTGAATACTATTTGAATGGTTTTTTTTTTGTTTAGCAACAATTCAATATTGAATGTTATTTAAATTTTTTGTTTTAGTTCCTAAAAAAATCAATATTATTTTAATTTAATATTATTTTAACATTTTGTTGTAGTTTATCAAAACTTTTAAGACTTTTTTATATTCCTTTGTATGTATACACATTGAGATAAATACATGACATTAATAAAAATAACATTTCAAACGATTTCGATAAAAATATAGATATATATTACATCAGAGTATAATTGATAAATCAATTATAATAAGTAATAGTAAAAGTTTGAAATATATATTTTATTTTTCATGAAATATAGCATACTTGTTTTTTGTTTGGAACAAATAATAAAAGAATATTTATTTTTTGTATTTTTGGGTTTTTTAAAAATTATTCTGCAAAACCTTTTCCCATTGCCATGGAACCGCACCGGTAGTTTCAAAAAATGTTGCAAAATCATCTCTTATTTGAGCACTACTTTTCGTTGGTCTACTTCTGTCGAATATCCCTACATTTTCCAAACCTGTCTCACGCAATTCCCGTTCATTTGCACTTATTGTCATATATCTTCTTTCCGTATGCGGTTTGTTCAATTCTTCTGATATTATGAAGTTGTGTAAACATGTAGTCGCTTTGATTATTTTAGTGGTAGTAGGAATGCTAGCAATTATCGGTTTACGAAATATTCGCATCCTCGCAGAGAGTATCCCAAATACATTTTCCACAATTCTGCGAGCTCGACTTAAACGATAGTTAAATACATTTTTGCGTCTATCGAGCCTACCACTTCTAGGATATGGCCTCAGCATGTATTGTGTTAACGGAAACGCTTCATCACCGACTAGCATAAATGGTAAACTCTGGCCAGCATGTTCCACAGGTCTTGGTGGAGGAATTGACAGCGTACCGTTTTGTAATCGCTTGCCGATCTCGCTAGCATAAAATACTCCACTGTCACTACGCCTTCCTGGAGCACCAATGTCCAGTAATGAAATCCGATAATTTGCATCAGCGACAACCATTAACACCAAACTGTGAGTGCCTTTATAATTATAACATACCGAACCACTATTCGGAGGTGCCTATATATATATGGCGGTTCGGCGTCTCCCGGGGGTGCGTTCGTCGTTGCGCTGGGCGCAACAGCCGACACCTCGCGTCGGGAGACGGAAGCAGGTGCTGCAGCCGCGGCAACTGTTCTCGGCCGCGCCGCGAGAGTTCGCGTGTGCCGGGTTTTAAGGAAAGTGCTTGCGTGGCGCTTTTGTTTCAGTCCTTCTTCCGTTCTCGCGCCGTATTGTGTGCAGGTCGGAGTTCGTTCCGTCCGTTCCGTTGGCTTTGTTCTCTGTTCTCGGTCGACGTACGTGCCGTGCGCCGCTGTGTCTCTTGCGGTGCGCTCGACGTTACCCCGTGCTCGGGTACTGCGTGTGCGTGTGGGCGTTCGGTGCCTGGCCCAGCCAGCGAGGCTGAGAGGCCCTTGAGGGTCACCGCTCCGCGGCCGGCGATTCCGGTGTCCACGTGTTGCGCACGTGCTGCGCACGTGGCCGTCCGTTCAGCGTGCGCGTTACCGCGTACCCGCGTCGAACCCGCGTTGCCGCGTACCCGCGTCGAACCCGCGTTACCGCGTACCCGCGTCGAACCCGCGTTACCGCGTACCCGCGTCGAACCCGCGTTACCTCGTACCCGCATTACCGCGTACCCGCGTTACCTCGTACCCGCGTTACCGCGTACCCGCGTTACTCCGTACCCGCGTCGTGCCCGCGTTATATCGTACCCGCGTTCTGTCGTGCCGCGACCAGCCAAGCGAGGCCATCGCTCTCGCCTTCTTCGTCAGGCGCTGTCGCCCTGTGAGAGTGCGTGCGTTTCGCGGGTGTCGTTGAGGCTCAGGGCGCATCGTACCGCCCATGAGCCCGGTCGTCGCGTGCAGCGGAGGCAGGTGCATATGCCGTTATCATTCTTGAGTTCAAGTTCTGCCAGCCACGTGTACAGACCAGGCTACCTGCCCTCGCTCACGTGCGCGCTCGCTCGGCTGTTCACGTGATCGGCTGAGGGCAGACGTCTCAGCCAATCACAAACGTTTCTCTACGCTGTGTCCTTAACACGTCAGCGTGACTTTGTTTATTTGCGCAACCGTTTCCGTTGTATGTGTAAGAGTCCGTTTTCTTTGTTAACGCGTAATAAACTTTGACGATGTGTCGTGCTGAAGTGGGAGCTAGTGTGTGTTACTGTGACCCGAGCTTTCTCCTGTCCACGGAGCTGTATTCCGATTTCTCTTAAATTATTGTGGCAGCCAAACGACTAGAGGCTATCCCCACATATATATATATATATATATATATAAAATTAATTGTAGCACTTAGAATTTCGTCTAATTTGTCACAAAACAAAATTGTTAAAATAATAGAAATTTACCTGCAATGTTACGTGTTTTCCATCAATTGCTCCAATGCAATTGGGAAAATTACACTTTTCTTCAAATTCACTGGCTATTCTTCGCCAGTTATCTTCAGTTGGTTTCAGGAATACCATATCTTTTAATGTATCCCATATTACTTCGCATATCTCTGATATTATCTTTGACACTGTATTGTGTCCTACACGAAATGCATAAGATATGGATGTCATACTATCTCCTGAAAATAAATATCTCAAACAGATTTGAAGGCGAACGCGTGCAGAAATTGGTTCACGAATAACACATTGTTTCTGTATATGTGGTGAAACAATCCGCAACAGTTTTTCAAACATTTCCGGTGTTACTCGGAAATAATTACAAAATTTTTCTTTGTCTTCGAAAATCATTTCTTGTATTAGATTGTTGCTATCCCCTTGCGCTAATCGTCTTTCGACATTAAAAATTGTTCTAACCCAAAACCTGCGAACATTGCGTCTTGTACAATATCTCTTTTTCTCTTCAGCTCGCATTAATTCGTAGATAACGTATATTTGAATTAATTTTTCTCGAATAGCCTCTTTACATAAATTACTTTCCGGACATTTATAAATTTTTAAATATTTTATTAAATTCATTAAAGCAAACTCAGAGTCCAACATTTTGATAAAGTTATGCACATTTGTTTTGACTTCTTTTATGAATGTATGTGTTAAAACATTACGCTGAAATTTCCATCGAGAGTCCCATGGGGCGTATTTACGCCGGCGTAATGATCAATAAGCCAATCACAAGCTCGCTTGAATATTCATTTTTAAAATGAGTTTTAAAAGAGACATTGCGATTGGCTTGTTAATCTTTACGCCGCGTAAATACGCTCCATGGGACACACGATGTTTGTGCTGGCGTAACGAAACGGGCGTAAAGCCTGTGATTGGCCTAGTTTCTTTACGCCATACGCCGGTACGCCGTACGCTGCCTCCATGGGACTTCACCCTTATAGTGCCCTGACATGGTGGATTTTTGCATATGCATCTGATTCGCACGTGATAAATCGGTACTCTACCTAGACGTCTTATGTAAATGAGCTCTAATGACCATATACGCCAGCACGCGTGCAACCAATTCGTAATTCAAACTTTTCCTTTAGCGTAGCCCTTGAAATCGTTATGTGAAAGCCTCATAATATTCTGTAATGTCACCTGCATGGCTATGCATTTTCATTTTTTATCTAGGTACAAAGAATTTTTCATACTAAGTGAGAATATAAAGCGTTGTCTAGGTACCATTGGAAATCGTCGGAATCGATTTGGATCCGACGTCTTGCATTTTATGTAGATGGGCTTTTACTTTTCTATAACGTCCAACAGTAGGACTGAAAAAAGTGCTTATAAGTTTGTGCTTACAAAACGAACGCTTTTTTCTTGTTATAGCTACGTTATGTTTGGTGATTTCATCACTGCAACAATTATTCTATCCTTGTTCATCAAGAGAGAAAGAAGGACAGAATAATGCAGCAATACGAGCGTCACTGTCGGAAAATACTGGAACTATTCTACTTATCATATGATTATACAGGGTGTCCTAAAACCACCGGAATTGCTCTTAATGATAGATTCCTTACAATATTTTAAGAAGAAAATTCTAATATAAAAATGTCGAGGCTATAATAGCTTTTAAATGGGAAGCGATTATATTTAACGAATGGCAGAGCTGAGATTTCGCGCGCTCAGATACGGAAAAATGACAAATGCAAAAAGTGCTCCTATTAATGGGGCGCTCTTTTTATGATATTATTGTCATATAAATTTGCAATATGTTTTCGCTTCTCTATGTATTGCATATTAATACATTTTTTCACAAATAAAAGATGTAAAAACTAAAGGCATATCAAAAATAATTCAAGTAAAAATTTGCATATTTCAACTTGAGCTGTCAAAGTCATCGATTAACATTATCATGAAGGTGTCTATGCTACGCTGTGCGAGACAAATAAATTGTAATAGAATTAATAGTTGTTTATTTTGTATTTTAGAACATTTTGGAATGTTTGTAACGAAATATAAATTGCAATGGTTTTAATAAAAATCAATTTAAACAATAATTATAATTCAAACGTATTTAATAAACCTAAATTTAACACACTTTAAAAAATTAACACTTTTAACATATTTAATGCACTTTAATAACAACAAAACAGTTTAACAGATTAAATAACAAATTAAAATATTTTTTATAATAAATATTCAAAATGTCCCCCATCGCATTCAATACACAATTGTGCGCGTCGCACTCTTATAGAAATATCATACTAAGAATTATTGATAATTACTTATTTTCAGTATTAAAAATACTGGATAATAAGTAATTATCAATGATTCTTAGTATGATATTTCTATAAGGGCAGTAGACTGCTTGTTGCGTTTCTAATCATGTTTGGTGTCGTTGTGGCGATTGCTTCAACAATTTTGTTTCGTAATTCCTCGCGAGTATTAATTGGTTCCTTGTACACATATTCTTTAATATGATCCCATAAAAAATAATCCGGAGGCGTCAGATCGGGTGAGCGTGCTGGCCAACTTATAGAATCACCACGTCCTAGCCATCTACCCGGAAATTTTTCACTCAAAGATTGGCGTACACATCTCGTATTATGTGGTGGTGCACCATCTTGTTGAAAGACAAACCGTTGCCGAATATTTAGTGGAATATTTTCCAACAATTCTGGCAAATTATTATTTATAAAATTTTGATAAATATTGCCATCAAGTCTTATGGGCATTTCAAACGGTCCAATCTGTAATTTAATATGTTATAGATATTACATAAATATACAGCGCATAGTCATCTAAAGATGGGTAACCGTGTGACACAGGATCGAATCCATGCGATTCTTACAAATAAATGAAACGACACAAAATATGAAATTATAGTTTTTTTTTTTTATTATTTAGACAAAATAATACTTTATTATACTGTTCTCAATCTATTTTAATTAATAATGATTTTTCACTGAATTTTTCTACATTTTTAATGAAATACTATTAAAATATTAATGAAATTATAGTGAAATTTTAATGAAATTGGGTCAAAATTGTGAATTTTCAAAAGCATTTCAGCAGAAGTTCATTATATTTTCAATAAATTATTTCCATCAGATACAAATGTCTCAATTGAGATCTTACATGCGAATTTTTGCGGAAACGGCATTTA